TGGAAGTGTTGGGATTTCAGGGACTTTTCTCACCTGCACTCTGTGCCTCCTGCAGCCACGACTATGAGAAGCCCCAGGAGGTGACTCTGGGTGCCAACAAGGTGATCGAGGGRCTGAACAGCGGCCTCCTGGACATGTGTGCGGGGGAGAGGCGGGTGCTCATCATCCCCCCACACCTGGGCCACGGCGAGAGCGGAGGTAGGGGAGTAGTGGCCAATGTTCAGTGCAAATGGGGTGGTTCAGCCTCGCTGCACCCCACTTGGGCTCTGTCCCTCCTCACCCTTTTAGGGCTGTGGGGTTCAGGCTTTGCCCTGCTCCCCGTGGTGCTGGAGCTTTGCTGTGTTTCCAGCTCGGGGAGTGCCTGGCAGCGCCGTGCTCCGCTTCGAGGTGGAGCTGATCTCCATGGAGGAGGGCGTTCCTGAGGGCTACCTSTTCATCTGGCACGAGGAGCCACCGGCCAACCTGTACGAGCAGATGGACCTGGACAAGGACGGGGCGATCCCCGCTGATGAGGTGAGCAGCTCCCAAAGGTGGGGTGCAGGGGGTGTGGGGAATGGGGAGCACTGAAGGGCACTGGGAGCCAGCAGAGCCGTGCAGGAGAAACATCCCAGCCCAAAGCATCACTGCTGGGTGCCCACAGTGTCCCCATGAGCAGCCTCTGCTCTGCTCCCTGCCCATCCTGGGCATGAGCCGTGGTCTCCCTGCCCAGTGCTGGCTGTGTGGAGCCAAGCAGCATCTGTTCCCTTGTCCCCTCTCCAGTTCTCCACCTTCATCAAGACCCAGGTGGCAGAAGGGAAAGGCCGCCTCATGCCCAGCTCCGACCCAGAGAAAATCATCGCTGACATGTTCCACAACCAGGACCGCAACCAGGAYGGGAAGATCACACCCGACGAGCTGAAGCTGAAGTCGGATGAGGATCAGGAGAAGATTCATGAGGAGCTCTGAGGAGCAGTCCCRCTGTTCCTGGAGACAGGACTCATCCTGGCCGTGTCATGGCCAGTCTCCCACCCCGGGAATCTGCCCCTGCCCCTCCCCAGTCCCGCAGCGGGGCAGATTTTGATTTTCACCTCTTTTAGCTGAGGGYATTTTGATGTGTTTWCCTGTGCAGGAAAACTCAGCYYCCAGCTAATTAACCCAGACAAGATGTCCCCTCCCTGASCCCTTGATTGGCCCCCAGTGACTGCAGGTCCAGCTCCAGCCCCCTCGCCTGTCCACGCTGCCTCGGGGGGCAGGCAGGATGCAGGGGGGCTCCCCCTCACCTCCATCACAGCATTTTRTAGTTTAGGATTGGGGATTGGGTTTTTTATACACTTAAATTTTTTTTTAGAGAGAAGAAGCCTCTTGTCCTGGTCCCTGCTGTGTCCCTGCTGCCATCCTGCCCAGGACAAGAGTCCAGAGGGGGCTCAGGATTCAGGGTGAAGCCCTGATACTCTGCAGGCATCTGCCTTTCCTAAAGTCCCAAAACTGTGGGGATGGGACCTGGCAAASCCCTCATCAGCTGGGAGAAGGGAAACAGACTCCTCATTCCATTCCCCTCAGGGAGCAGCCTCATCCCCCTCCATGCCCTCCCACTTCCAGCCTCCCGTGAGTGAGACAAACCAAACCAATTTTGTTTCAATACCTAAATGCAGGTCACAACCTTGGAGTGCTCAGGTTCTGGGGTGGAACCAGCACAGTTCCAGCACCTGCCAGCTCCCAGAGCCTCTGTCCTRCCCCAGGGACAGAAGAAAGGTAGAAAGGAGCACAGCAGTGCAGAGCCCCTCAAACGGTGACTCTGCCTTGCACCGAGTAATAAATAATTCCTCCRGGTTTCCAAGGAGTTTGACCGTGTCTGGTTACTTTGCCATGGAATATTCCTGTGTGTTGGGGCAGTGGCACTCCAGAGTGCCCAGGGGCATTACAGGCTCCAGCATCTGCTGGGTCTGGCAGGAAAAACCAAAATTCCCCCTGGGATCTTCCACCAAAGCCAACAGGGCTTCAGTGCCCAGTGAGGGCTGGGGGGCTCTGGTGGGATGGGGAGCTGGGGGGCAGAGATTGCCAGCCCAGGGAGCAGAGCAGCTCCAGCCCCTCAGCCCTGGCTACAAATCACCCATGACCCAGCTTTACCCAACAATGTTTTTATTCCAACATGGAGAACGACTCTGCTTTTCAGAGTCTCACATAACCAGAGGTTACACAGAAATAAAATGGGTTTTTCCTATYGCTGCTCTGAGAGCCCAGATCAGCCGAGGATCAGCCCAGAAGCTTAATAAACAAACATGGCCAGGTAAAACATTCCTTAAAACCCCAAATTCTGCCATTGGCCTCTCCTCCCTCATCCCCACCCCTCCTTCTGTGATCCCTGGCAGAACAAACTTACTTCTGGCTTAGGGCAGCAACAGCAGCCGAGCTCCAGGGCCTTCAGGGACAGCTGGAAAAGCTTTTTTTTCCACAGTAAGAGCTGTGCTGGTGTGAGATGGAYGGGTGAGCTGAGTTGTGGGGCCAGAGAGCTGCAGGATCCCATGGGGAATGTGGGGCAGGGTGATGTGATGTCCAGCAGGGCCACACCAGCCCAGCAGCTGCACTGGCACCAGGGTCAGCCCAGGAGCTTTGGAGCCCACAGAAAACAGGACAAGAAACTTGTTTTCTTAGCCAGGACCACAGTGACACCAAAATTTCATCTAAAATCAGGTCTGTCCTCAGTAAACTATATCCATTCCACACTCAGCTGCTGAAACAAGTGCAGAAACATCTCTGAAACGTGGAAAGGTTTGTCGTGGCCTCAGGATGAAGTCTGAGCAGGACAGAGTCAGTCCAGGAGGGACACTGCAGAGCCAGGCAGAGCTGGGGTGAAGGGAACAGAGAAGCTTCCTCCATCTCACCTCTCCTGCTCCAGGGCATCAGTGAGGTGGGGATGGAGCCCAGCAGGTCCCAGCAGGTCTCCTCCAGCTGTGTCACAGGAAGGACACTCCCTGCCCAGCCCTCTGCGTGGCCCGAGCTGGACRCCGTGTCCCCAGCTCATGTCTCGGCCAGGATGTAGCGCAGAATGCCGTTGACCACATCCAGCGTCTCGTCGCTCTCCAGGACGATGTCATAGGAATCCAGGTACTTCCCCCTGCGCTCTTCCACCTATCAGCAGCGGGAACAGCTCAGGGTGAAGATGCTGCTACCCAAAAGGGGCACAAGAACTGCCCTGACAACTTCCCAGGCACGGCAGGAGCTCAGCAGACAGCCCCAGGTCCCTTCTGCACCCCTTGGGAGCTCWCTAAAGAATTTCAAGTGTGTGTAAAACCACAGTCAAGTGTGTAAATTTCAAGTGAGTGTATATAAAAAATGCAATCCCCAATCCTAAACTACAAAATGCTGTGATGGAGGTGAGGGGAGCCTTCCTACATCCTGCCTGCACCCTGAGACAGCGTGGACAGGCGAGGGGGCTGGAACTGGACCTGCAGTCACTGGTGGTGGATCAAGGGGTCAGGGAGGGGACATCTTCTTGTCTGGGTTTATTATTTGGGGGCCGAGTTTTCCTGCACACATCAAAATACCCTCAGCTAATAAGAAGTGAAAATCATGTATGTACACCCTGCAGGAGCTCGTACGAGAATCTCACCCACCCAAATCACTGGRGCAGCCCCCTGCTCCTCCCTGCTGGCCCCAGCCCTGGCACCTGGGGAAGGCTGCTAGGGAAGCACTGCAGTGCTCCTCACACCCACCTTGTCATTGAGAAAGCCAATCTTGAGGATGTTCTCCACGCTGGGAACGCCGTCTGCCATGGTCAGGTCACCCATGGAGTCCCCCAGCAGGATGATGCTCGTCCTGGTGCTCAGCTGCTGGAAGTAGCCTGTGCCCTGCAGCACGGTGTTGTTCTTGTTGTAGGTGTGGATGAGGGGCCCCTTGAAGYGTGTGAGGACTCCCTGGGCACAGACAGGGGACAGACAGCTCTTAATGATGGTGTCACTGTTCATGGTGTCAGCATTAATCGTGTCCCAGCCCTCGGTCCCAGCCCCACACCTCTCCCCACACAGAGGCAGTGCAAGAACTCACATCCTCGTTGAAGTCCATGTAGTTGGACACCACGTTGACGTTGGAGTAGAAGACGTTGGCCTGACGGATGATCTCCTCCAGGATGTCACCGACGCCAGCAGAGAAGATGAACAGGGGGACATTGTTCTTGTGCAGCCGCTCAAAGAACTCCTCGTAGCCATCCCTAGAGCAGGAGTGGCCATTGCAGGGGGCTGAGTTACCAGCCCCTGGCACAATGGTTACTCAGCCCAGCTTCTGCTCCTGCCCAGCACTTCCCAAACAGAAACACAYACGTCAGCTCTGCAAACCACGAGCTCTCTGCAGCACCAGCACTCCCACGGCCTCCCTGGGCAGAACCCCGGAGAGTTTTGGGTGCAGCAGATGGGTGGGCACTGGTGGGAGCACAGAGCACTCCAAGCCTTTGCCTGGCATCTCCTGAACACATCAGCTGCTTGGCAGAGGCACAGGGCACAGCCTGCCCACACCAGTGGGCGCTGCCAGGAGCCATGTCAGAGATGTGCAACAGGTTGGGCTGGCTGGGAGAAGGATCAGACCAACCTGKGACAGCCTCAGTCTGCCAGGGSACAATTCCTGGCAGGAGTGGACCTTGGGCTCATGAAAAGCCATCTCCTCCCTGAGCCTGRCAGCACCCTGGCAGAGCCCAGCTCYCCCAGGCCAGCCTTAGGGCAGCTTTAGCAGCAAGTTCTAGCTCAACATTTTTGTGCTGTGGGTGAAATCTGCTGCTGAGCCAAGGGCCTGCATAAGGCTTGGCAGTTCTGGCACAAAGAACAAACCTCTGTGTGCTGCCCCTGCATCCCACTCTGCAAAAGAGGAGCTGTGCCCAGCACCAGCCCCTCAGCTGCTCCTGGCCAAGGCCTGAGAGARGGGGGAGCAGTTTCAGAGCAGGAAGGGAGCAGCCTGCAGCCAAAGAGAGAACTCACGTTCTGACTGTGTTAGAGCTCAGCCCCAGGCAGTGAACGAGAGAGGCTGGCACTGGTCGTGCTGCAGCGTGGTGACAGCACAGAGACCTGGCTGCATGGGCAGAGAAAAGGGCTGTGGGCAGCCAAGCTGTACCTCAGTGTCACATCCCCGTGCCCAAACCTCGACACCACAAACCCATTCCCGTACCTCAGCATCGCCTCTGACTCTCTGACGATCTGGGCGATGTCACCTTTGCGGATCTTCTGCTGCACCAGCAGCTCGTGGGCCTTGGTCCACCTGGGGAGAGGCAGCAGTGACAGAGTCCCAGGCAGAGGCTCTCAGCAGTCAGAAATAACAGCTAAACCTTGCAGGATCGCTGCCCAGCCCAGGGACGGTTCAAGCCTCGTGTCCTGTAGTCCTCAGGGACAAGAGGTTGTCAGGACAAGGTCAAGATCATCACAGCACTCACCACTCCACCATGAGGGGACGTTTCTCTTCCAGGGTCCGGTTGGGATCTATTTCAATGGGATAGTAATAGTGGAGCAGGTCCTTCAGCTGGAGTCTCGCACAGAGGGAAAAAGAACAAAGTGAGCAGCAGGTCAAAAGAGACTATAAACAAAACTAGCGATTCTGAAGTCCTCCAAAGTATCACTTTTCCTAAACACAACCAAAACCTTGTCACTGAGCAGCGTCACTCTGAGCACAGCTGGAATTCTCACCAGCCTGGCTGGCCCTCACCTCACTCCAAATGCTGCAGGTACAAAGACCCCTCCCCTTCCTGCTCCTATCAAACTGAAACACCCACAGCTGCATATTCGAGTTCCCTTTTTAACTTCTCCTCTGTCACTGCTGGCTGAAATACAGCCTGGGCACTTTCCCACTCCATYCTGGCAGCCAGCACAGCTGGGAGAGCTGCCACACCAGCCAGTGTGACCTCCAGTGACAGGTGACAGATACAACAGTATTTTACACACAGMACCCACCTTCTTCTTGCCATCCTCRCTGATGACACGGCTGGTGTCGAGGATATCTGCAAAGAAAATAAAACACCAGTGATTAGCACAAAAACACAAAAAGACTTTCTAACAGCAGCTCCCCTGAATGTCAGTGCTGGCTGTTCCCAATACAAGCTGTGGTGACACTGTGACCTGAGCACAGGCTCCCTGTGGGGTTTCAATGCATTGGCTCCTATTTTACCCCGCAGCAGGACCTGGTTCAGCCAGGACAGTGGTCTCAGCGCCCATGGGCAGTGGGATGAAGGCAGCCAGTCCAGAACCAGACAGCAAGGCCCAGAGCTGCAAGGAGGACAGGACAGAGTGGCCAGGCTTGGCAGGGAGGACACGAAGGATGACAGGAACCAYGTCAAATACAAACACAGAAATCAAACAAGATCAGTGACAGTAAAAACAACGGCTTCCACTCACTGTGCGATGTGGGGCAGCGCCTGCCATTGCACCCAAACCTGCTCAGCGTCATGTCAAAGTCAGAAATGACCTGGAAGAGGGGAGAAAACCAAATCCGTGCATGCCCCAATGCATTCTGTCCTGGTCAGAGCGAGCCCACGATGCTTCTAAGGGGCTGCCAGAACCACTGTCTCCCGCGGACACAGAATGACGGCGACGACGTGGCCGCTCCTACCAACCCCAAGACAGACAATGTCCTCACCCTCCCACCCCGGAGCCCTTATCGGCACCGAATGGCTTCACCGTGCCGGGGCGGAGCAGCGCTTTGGGGACTGGCCCACAGTTACAGCTCCATAACGGGGAGCCSAAAGGTCGGTCCGGGGGGAGCCACCGGCCCCGGGCTGCCACTGCAGGGAGGGGCTGGGAGAAGCCGGGCCGGGGTCGGGGGGCTCGGAAGGGGCAGCAGAAACAAGGACCGAGCGAGGGCAATGCACCGCTACCTGCAGCTTGGCCACCCCCTGCTCCCGGAGGGACTGGATGATTTCCCGCACACGCTCGGGCTGCCGGATCCGGACCGTGGCTTTCTCCAGCTCGGGTACCTGCGGGCAGAGACCCCGCTCGGTGCCGCCCCGCGGCTCCCCCAGCTCCGGGGGCACCGAGAGCCTTCATCCCCCGCTGTCCCTCGGTCGTGGCCGCGCTCAGAGCCGGCTCCCGGCCCGCAGCCCCGCTCACCATCGCGCCCGCTCCGCTCCGCTCCGTTCCGGTCGCACCGGCCGCGCAGCCGCGGGGAGGAGCCGGCGGGGGGCGGGACCGGAACGCGGCCTCGGGGCCCGGAGGAGACCGGGAGGCACCGGGGAGTGCTCTGGTGATGATCTGGGAGCGTTCGGTGGTTGCTGGGGTCGGGGAATTCACCCGCGCTCCGTGCACGCCCGCAGCCACTCTGACCTGCGTTCTGATCTGCTCCTTCCCGCGACGAGCCGGGAAGGAGAAAGATGTATTAAAAAAATAATAAWAAAAAAGGATAAAATAGTCGCCGGCGGGGCYGTTCGTGGCCGCAGGGCAGTGAACCACTCCGCGGCGCCGGGAAGACTGAGTCACAGAACCCTGGCGAGGGGAAAGCCCGCAAAGAACCATCCCCCAGCATCGCCGCCACCAACCGATGTCCCTTGGTGCCACACCCACAAGACTTTAAACTCCTCCAGGGATGAGGATCCACCACTGCTGCCTTTGGACAGCCCCTTGGGGGAAAATAATTTCCAACATACAACCTAAAGCTCCCCCGGCACAACTTCAGTGACCAATCAGCAGGGACAGTGTGTGTGACAGCACTGACATGAGCTGGACAATACCTCAGCTTCCTGCTGGGAGAGGTGGCACAAGACACCTGAGCAGAGCCCACGCTTGGAGGCTATTATATCCCAGTGAAATCTTACTGAAAAGCTGCTGGAGGATGGATCACAGGCTGGTTTTTCTCCAAGTGACCATCAATCAACACAGAGCACGTCTGGATCCAGCACAACCCGGGCTGTAGRGAAGCAAAAGCTGAGGGCAACCACAGAATGCTGGGCCTGGGTCAACCCTGCCCCTGTGATGTCATTATGGGGCACAATCCACAACCAGCTAGGGAGCTCAGTGCTGGATGTTTGGGGACAACACCAGAGTGCTACACACACCTCAGCAAGGTCCACTGCCTCTGGCTCCAACCAAATATTCATCCTCCAGCATGGAGAGGAAGATGAGCGATAGGAGTTGCAGCATCTCCAATGAGCTCCGCCTGGAAGGGAGATTCTGTGATGTGATCATCAGTGCGGAAGGGGTGGAATTCAAGGCTCACAAGCTCATCCTCTCATGCTGCAGTATCTACTTCAGGTCAGTACTTGAAAAACAAGGGAATGGGGACAAAAAGTATTCCCTGATTGAGGTCAGCACATCTCCATGAGCTCCACCTGCACTGAACCYTTCATCAAGCGATTTCCCATAGTCCTCACACCTCCCTGAACATCAGGATAAATCCACAGCCCAACATGTATCAGTGGCTCTTGGCAGTGGTATCAGAGGAGCCTCAGCCACAGTGCAGGGCTGGAGCCTGGCCAGCCTGGTCTGGCTATCACGGGGCAGCTTTGCCTTGCCCACACCTTGTGACTCTCTGGGATTCAGGACCCCGTATTGGTGCTGCACTTGGGTCGAGGCAACCCCACCCCAGTGTCAATCCAGGCTGGGGATGAACGGAGATGCCCTGGGGAGGGGGATTTGGGGGTTGGTGGTGAGAAGCTGAACGTGCCTTGGCTGTGTTCTGTGCACCCCCATARCCCTGGCCTCATCCCCACAGTGTGGGCAGCAGGTSATGGGGGSATTCTGCCCCTCTGCTCCTCTCRGGTGAAACCCTCTGCCCTGCTGCCTCCAGCTCTGGTATGCCCCAGAGGCTGTATCTCCTTTTTCAAACAACCAGCAAGTAAAACATTAATCCATAAACCACGGGGCCTCCCAGAATGTCTCCTACCAGTGCCAAAACTGGTGCCCCGGGGGCAGGAGGAACACAGGGGATCCACGGACAGGGTTTAACACAGCAACACCATGTTTTCAGGACTCTGTTTACCAACTGGGACACCGCAGACAAGATGGTCTATCACATCCCTGGCATTTCAGCTGAAATGATGGGGCTCATCATCAATTACGCCTACACCGGGACAGTACCGATCACGGAGGACAATGTTGAGAGTTTGCTAGCTGCAGCAGATCAGTTCAATGTCATGGGCATCGTCAGCCTGTGCTGTGAGTTCCTCAGTTCCAGGCTGTGCTTTGAGAATTGCATTGGCATTTGCAGACTCACTGACTATTACCACTGCCCCGACCTGCGCGCAGCTGCCTGCGTGTACATCCTGCATCACTTCGAGGAGGTGTCCCAGGTGTCCGAGGAGTTCCTAGATCTCACTGCCGAGGAGCTGGCACACATCATTGAGAAGGATGAGCTTAACGTGCGGCGAGAAGAAGCCGTGTTCGAGGCTGTGCTGAGGTGGATATCTCATGACCCGCAGAACAGGAGGCAGCACATCGCCTGCTTGCTGAGCAAGGTGGGTGCAGCACAGCTTCGGAGCTGCCCCCAAAGGCCACCCAAAGGGGGAAACCATCAGTGGCAGTACTCCAACCTCCTCCTTGCGTGTTTCAGGTTCGACTGGCACTCCTACAATCCGACTACTTCATGAACAACGTCAAAGCTCACGAGTACGTCAAGGACAATGCCAACTGCAAAGATCTCATCATCAGTGCCCTGTCTGAAATCTACGACCTGAACTCCTACGGCCAGAGCTCCTCGGTCAACGCCAACCCACTCACCCGGCCGCGCCTGCCCTACGCCATCCTCTTCGCCATCGGGGGCTGGAGCGGGGGCGGCGCCACCAGCGCCATCGAGACCTACGACGGCCGCACTGACAAGTGGCTGAACATTCCCTGGGAGCAAGAGAGCCCCGTTGCCTATCACGGCTCGGCTTATTTGAAAGGCCACGTCTACGTTATCGGCGGATTTGATGGCACGGATTATTTCAACATCGTCAAACGGTTTGATCCACTCCAGAAGACATGGCAGCAGGTAGCACCCATGCACTCACGGCGCTGCTACGTTAGCGTCACCGTTGTGGACAGCTTCATCTATGCCATGGGAGGGTTCGATGGCTACATGCGGCTCAACACAGCAGAGCGCTATGACCCAGACACCAACCAGTGGACCCTGATCACCCCCATGCACGAGCAGAGGAGCGACGCCAGTGCAACCACACTGAATGGAAAGGTAAACTAGCCCCAGCCAAGWGCAGTTGGGGTTGCAGCATGAAGTTCACATAAACCTCCACTAAATTCATAACTGTTTATTAAATCCTGGAGCTGTGAGTGTAAAGGAGCCTGCCTGGTGTGGCAGAGATATAAAAAATCTTCCAGAGCTGCTGCCTATCTGGTGCCTGACAGCCCCTTTTCCTGGCCATAGGTGTGATACCAGGCCTGTCTGCTTCATGCAGCTTGAAAAACCGAAAGTCTAAATCTTGCTGCCATCAACTCTTTGCACTGCTGCTACTTCAAACCCAGGATGACAAGATCATTCCCATTCTTAAACAACACACCCCAAAAATCCAGCCACACCACTGTTTTCTCTTCAAACATGTTTCCTCACCAAGGATATAACCACCCCACTCACCCTTTCCCCCATCTCCTGTCCCCAGGTGTACATCTGTGGTGGGTTTGATGGCGATCAGTGCCTCAGCTCAGCTGAAGTGTTCAACCCCACCACAAACCAGTGGTCCCTGATCGCCCCAATGAGCAGCAGGAGAAGCGGAGTTGGGGTGATGGCATACGGGAACCAGGTGTATGCGGTAAGGGCTAACACCAGCCAGCACTGCAGTCCTTTGGATGGCTGCAGGTCCCAGATCTCCAGGGTGGCCATGTGTTTACATGAGGTTTAGGGAAGTCAAAGCCAAAATGGCAAGGAAGTTATCACTCATCACACGATTTTTGATATGAAAATGGTGTTTGGCAATGTGGAAGTAGCAGAACATAATTTCTGCTGCTTCCAACAGTACCAGCAGCACAGAGCAGGGGCTTGGGCCTGTTCATCCATTCTTTATCCTCTCCATGGACTGCATCCAACTTCTGGAGAACTGTCAAAATTGACAGTTACATAAAGTGCTTTGGAAAGCTCCTCAGAGAGCAGGGAGCAGACTGCAATAAGCAAGAGCCATGTTTGGAGATCTCGTGCTCTCCTCCATGCTCAGACTGCAGCCAGGGAGGCAYGAGCAGTTCCCATCTCACAGATGCATGACAGGATCTGGCTTAGGAAAGGCCCCTTTCAGCTCTGTCCCTTTGGCCTTCACAGGTTGGAGGGTTTGATGGGAACAGCCGGCTCCAGAGCGTGGAAGCGTACAACCCCATCGCCAACGCCTGGCACGCCGTGCCCTCCATGCTAAATCCACGCAGCAACTTTGGCATTGAGGTGATGGATGGCCTGTTGTTCGTGGTTGGGGGCTTTAATGGGTTCAGCACCACYGTTGCCACCGAGTGCTACGAGGAAGATACCAATGAGTGGTACGACGCCCACAGCATGGGCATCACCCGCAGCGCCGTCAGCTGCTGCGTGGTGCCAGGGCTCTCCAACGTCATGGAATACATCGCTAGGCAACACTACTACCAGCACAGCTCCTCCATGGACATCTTGTTCAGCAGTTCAACTCGCAGCTCGCCGTTGTAAATAGTTCCCCTTAGCTAGGAGTGTTGTGATCAGCCATCACTGGATGCTTGTGTAAATAGTTCTGCGTATTTAATAAAGTCTTCTGAGCATCCCATCACCAGATATGTGTAAATAGTGTTCTTTAAATAATAAAATCCCCATAGGAGAAAGAAAATATGTTCTCTTGTTCGAAAATAGAAACAATTGTAATGGGCCAAAAGGACTATTAGCATTTAGAGCTTTCACTCCACAGTATTACCAATGTATCATCCACACCCTATACAGCAACTTAAAAAACCAAAACCACAACAGAATGCTAGAGAAATAAAAGGTTTATTTTTATTAATTCACCTCTTACAATAAATTTTAGTACAGTGTATTTAAGGTCAAGAACAGGACAGCAGGATCTGTTTCAAAGGGTGCTTATGACACACACTACCTCATAGGTAAGGACAGGACTGCTGCTCCCCAGCAAACTGCTGTCCTGCTGTTAATATGCCAGGAGAGCAGAGCTGCTGCRACCCACAGTGACATGGACCCACGAGGAGAATCTGACTACTAATGGTCATCAAACAGCTCGTTAGTTCCACGCTCTACATTCGTATTAGTAACAGGGTTAGATTTTCTCAAGAGCACCTGTTTTATCAGATTCCACCCAGGACTGTCAAACAGGAGATGGCTCATACCCCAACCTAAGGTGGACAGAGCTGAACATAAATCCAAGCCACAAAACCGTTTCCTTTACGTTTGCTTTTCAAAGCTCATTGGATCTTACATTCTGTTACAAGGCTGTGTTAAGAACAATATAAAAAGTTGTAATTCCTTGGGACTGGGTTTGTTGGCAGACACCAGGGTATTCCACAACACACAAGCTGAGCCAAGAGTTTGGATTTTAATATTTACTGTAATGGAGAAAAATGCCATTGCAATAGGCAGCTCACACTTGTTCACAGCACATGTAACATCTGGATGTTTGCTTCATCTCTGGAATGTTCTCCCACTTTGTGCAAGGGAGTCTTATTAAAAACACACACAACCCCTGGTTATAATGGAGCATCCAGGTAGTTATAAAATATTATGTAAATATATGGCCTCTGGGAGTTAGTACAGTGACCGCCAAGACCTGGCAGGTGCCATTGGTACTTTGAGCAGAAAGCCAGGACATGACACATGTGTTTTGTGACAGGTAGCAGGACAGGTGTAGAGGTGTGATTGTCCAAAGGAGGAAGACTCCCCACAATGTTCTTTTCCCTCAGTGAGACCAGCAGTCTTCTTGCCCCTACTGAACATACATTGGGATCCTGCTGACAGCTGATCAGCCATTAGAAACACACAGGAAGAACAGCCAGGCTTTTCTTTATGGGATCATTTGATAACCACCCAGCAAGCTATGGTGGTCAAGGGCCACAAAGAATGGTAAAGGATTCACAGGCTCGTGGGCTGAACTGCAGCCAGAGCCATGAATGCAATTCTCCCAACTACTCCTGTGATGCAATGRATCATTCAACCTATCAGTCACAAACCACATCAGTGCCACTGGTCCACTGACTTCAAGGCTAAAAACCCCCAAATGCTTAAAACTACCCCAGAACTGGCAGAGCAAACATCAAGAGCAGTCCATGCTGCTGCCAGAGCCGCCCACCCTGGAGCACACGGAGGGACAGCACGGCACACACGGCATGCGGCTGGCACACACAGGGTTACCTGTCCAGGGATGGGGCTGGGCTGATGCTGTCTCTCTGTGGAGTGCTTTTAGTAAACGTCCTCCTGGGAAGTGTAAGATCAATGCTGCTTAGAAAAAGCAAGACTGCAAGGTTTGTTCTTGCCTCTGCTGCACAATGTCATTAAATATTCAGCTCCTATTCCAGCTGACCATGGTGTTTCTCCCTACAAATTTTCGATGGTAGCCTACAAGAGGGCTTGGAGAGCTGTGGGGGTGTGACCTACTACCACTCTCCAACTGCCTATTAAATACCTCCAGGCAGTTCAGCAGGGTGGAGGACAGGAACTCCTCCCCATTGCTTTGGTGCAAAGTCAGGGAAAGTATCCCTAAATCAACTCCCACAAATTGCTGTTACATTGATGGATTCAGCACTAGAGGCATCTGCACACTTTATCACAAACTGCTGCAGGAGCAGCAATTCTGCAGCCACTCCAGCCGGACCTGCAAGAGTCCATGAGCCAGACTCCATGGATCAATCTCCAGCTTACAGACCTGCAAGAGCTGTTTGGGAACAATCACCTGCAAACATCACCTTAAACTCACCTATTTCCTCTTGCATGAAGCCAGCAGCATAAACTTCACCTGCCCCAACAGCCCAATGGGCAAAGAAAATACAACACAGTTACCACAGAGCAGAGACAAACTGTTCAGAATTTCAAGTTTGGTTGGTAGTTGTTTTAACTAAGGCCAGAGACTCTCACAAATAGACAAGTTATTGATATCAAAGTGGCCCCATGAACCACAAAGCAGAGCATTAAGGGACGTACATATCAGAGAAACCTTTAYACACGGAGTGGTGGAAGGACTTACCCCGAGTTTCATATAGGATCTGGGCTGCCTGTTGAACTGGAAAAGGAGAAGGAGCAGCTCAGGAAGCAAAACAATTAAAACCAAAACAAACCCCAAACAGGTTACAAGTTCTTTGCAAAGAAGCCACCCACATCAAAACCACCAGCAAATCATCGATGAACCAGGAGCAGTAACAGATTTTCCAAAAAGGTTTGTTTACACAAGTTTTGTAATACCCAGGTTACTCCTCCCATTCCCTTCCCTAAGATCCTGAGTTAGACTGCATGGGAAAACTTGGAACATTCAAATGAAGGGAAGGATGGGGAGAAAAGGAGGTAGGAAGTATGCACTGAAACACTGGTAAATGAAAGGGTCCTGGAGCTTCTTGGACCGGGGAGGAGTGCTCAGTGGGACAGGTAACTGAGAGGCAGGGACACTCCAAAGGGAATATCCCACGTTCTATTCCCCGGGAGTACAGCAGAAAGCAATCCAGGGCCACCCAGGGCACTTGCATGTAAGCCACCTCAGAAAGATAAAAGGTGTTTAAATGATCTTAAATYTCACCCCCACAGCAAGTGGGGAAATTAAGATGCTTGGAGACTCTGAAAGCCCAGCTCTCTCCCCTGTAAGAGCACATGTGCCAGCTTGGTGCAGAGCTGCAGCACAGATGCTGGGAGTCCCTTGGGACAGCACACAGAGGGCAAAGCCTTCTGATTGTCAGAGACAGGCTGGAACAGCAGGGGCTCTCCCATCACTTCTCACTAGAATTAAAACATGTGCAACACTTGAGAAAAGACCTACGAGTAGCTCAGGTTTCCCATGAAATAATCTCACTCTCACAGATCCACTCTGACAGAACTGAACAGCCAGGGTGCGTGGGTGGCTCATCGCTGGTTATCACTCCTTCACTCAGGCTGTTGACCCAAGTTCCTAAGTTTGAGTTAGAGACAGACTCAAACCTGAAAACAGACCTGAAAAAAAATCCATTGCCTCAAGGTCTCTTTTAGCAAGCATCTTGTGCCCAACCAATCATCCATTTATAAACAAACTCTGCAGCCTCTCTACAAGATACAGATACAAAAAATATTTAATAAACATAGAAACATCCTGAAGGAATTTCTTAAAGAAAGATTGTGCTTTTGTTTCATACAGAACTATTGCACTTGCCTCCAGCTTGGGAAAGCCAAGTACACCAACACCAATCCTGTGAAGTTTAGTCACTGAGGAGAGAATCAAAGGAATGTCAAGAGATAAGTGCAAATGAAACAGGTGCTTTCAAGCACACACAAATGTAACCACTAAATTATTAAGAGAGAGAGCTTTGATCTTCCAAGTAGAACTGTTAGAGAGTGACTCTACAGAAACCCTTGGAATCAAAGATCTCAAAGGAGAGAAGTAACAGGCTTAATGCTCCCRGAGACATTTCACAGCCCGATACAGGCTACAGCTTTTCCCTGGGCATCATTAAGGAATACTGTTGGATTCATGGAGTGTCTCAATTCCACCCACCCTCAACTTCTGAGCTTCTGAATTTTCAGTACACAACAGATGCTGGTTTTATGCATCAAATCCAATCCACACCCTCATGTCTTATAAAGACACATCAAGCCTAACAAAAGGGTTTATTTCCTAGGCTCATCAGGAGTGATATTCCACACTAGCACTCGATCTGGGAGCGGGGCATCCTCCGTAAGCTCAGAGAGTATCGGTGTATCTCCTGCATCTGCCTTTCCTGCATTTGCCTTATTCTATCTTTTTGCCACATCAGATTTTGTGGCATGGGGTACCTCTGTGTTCCCTGCAGGCACCTGAAGGGGATTCTCACATGGCAGGCAGTGGCTCTGCAGCGGGGCTGTGGCATTGGGGGCAGGAGCATCCAGCGCTTCCGCTCGGCACAGTAGCGATAGGCCTCCTTCCTGTACTGCTTGTCAATGTCATCGCTGTTCTTCCACCCCCCGATGATAAACACGTCATCTTTGTAGTAACAAATAGCTGCTCCCTCAATGCTCAGGACCTCAGGAGGCAAGGATTCCAGGATTTCATCCGAGGCCCTGCTGGAGATCTTTCCCTTGGCCTCCTCRTTGTCTATGGGGTAACTCTTGGGGCAGCACGATGCCGTGTGGTAGAAGTTGGTGTTGGCAACAGACATCTGGAAGGAGCAGTAGTTGTCGATGAGGGGCAGGGACTCCACATCTTGCCACTGCCTGGTTTCAGCATCGTATCTGATAATAACAGCCCTCAGCCCATCCTCGCTGTCGCTGTCGACTGGGGTGCGTGCGGCCACATACACAAACCGATCTTCCACGGAGACAGCTTTGACATCCCGCAGGATCTTCGGTGCCGACTCCAGGTTCAGCCATTTGTCCTGCTCAGGATTATAAATGGCCACATCCTTAAAGCCTGGACTGAAATTGCCRTGTCCACCAATACTGTACAAGTTGCCTTTCACTTCGGTAAGGCCAAAGGAATGCTTCCTGGTGATTAGATTTGAGACCTGCTCCCAAATATTTCTGTTTGGATTGTACCTTTCTACAGTCTTGGCAAACCCTGGCTCCATGGAGCCAGCCACATACACGTAGGACTCTGTCACRGCCACAGCGTGCCCATCCAGGTGGTTGTGGATGTGAGGCAGGTTGACCCACCTGTCCTCGTCGATGAAGTAGCCCACGCACTCGCTCAGGTAGTCACCGCCCTCRGACACGCCGCCGATCACCATGATGACATCCATGTTCTGGCCAAAGCGTGGCAGCAGTGCAGTGGGACAGGTGGAATGCTGCAGGTTCCCAGACTGCAGGTTCTCAGAGCGCAGGGCATGGCTCTCCACGGCCTCGGACACCAGCTTCACACAGACCTCATTGCTCGACACCAGCCGCTCGGATTTGACGTGGCGAGTCAGGTATGTGGGTTTCATCTGAGACAATCTTAGCAGCTTAAAGAGCTCTTCAAAGTACCTCTCTCTTTCCTCAGGATTTTTCTGAACCCACTTCAAAACAGTCTCAAAGAGGATTTCTTCAGAGTCCACCGTGATCTCTGAGTCTGAGAGCCAGTCCCGGACAAGGTGAAACGGCAAAGTGTAGAACTCCTCATCTTGGATAACTTTGTGGAAGTTTCTCCTGATCATATCCTGCGCTTTCAGGGCCAGCTGATTCAGGGAATACATGTGGGCCAAACTGTGAACCGCCACACAGTTGGAGAGGTTCAGTTTCTTCTTCAGAAACTCTCCACAGAARTCCTTCAACCGGGTCAGCAGAAACCTGCAGGACAAACACGGGAGTTRTAMAYCCCTRRAAGTGCTCAAGGCTGGGTTAGACGGAGCTTGGAGCAACCTGGTCTAGTGGAAGGTGTCCCTGCCCATGACGGGGGGGTAGAACGAGATGAACTTTTAAGGTCSCTTCCAACCCAAATCAATCTGCGATCCCCTGATGCCGTGACCCGGTCCCCACCAGCCCCCGCCCCGCTTACCTGTCCGCCATCTCCAGCACCTCATGGACGTTACCGGGGCTCACGCGGATGGTGCCGGTGTACATGAAGCCGATAACGGCCTCCACCGTGTCGGGGTCGGGGCCGCCCTCCGAGCTCCACTTCTGCAGCTCCACGCGACCCGAGCGCGACTCCGCGAACCCCCCCGAGAGCAGCGGCGTGAAGTACTCGGTGGCGGCGGCCAGGACGGACCGGTGCGCCCGGTACTCGCGGGCCATGCCCGCGCCACCGAACGCCAGCGTGATGTCGCAGTACAGGCCGTGGCGGCGCTGCTCGTTCTGCCGCCAGGCCAGGTCGGAGCAGTGCGCCGGACACCCGAACTCCTCCGCCTCGGCCTCCCCATCCGCCCCGCCGCCGCGCGGGCCCCCGCGCTCCGCCTCGGCTGCCGGCGGGCCGGGACCGGGACCGGGGCTGGGGCCGGAGCCGTGACCGGGGCCGGGATGTGGCTGCGGACAGGCCGCGGCCGCCGCCATCTTGTCCGACATGGCGGGCGGCGCGCGGTGCTGCCCCCTGGCGGAGGGAGCGCGACTCGGCAGGGCAGCGGCGGCGGCGCCGTGAGGGGAGTGGAGACAGCAGCGCCCGGGATTCGCCGAGAGCCCGCATCCCCTCAGCCCGGGACCCCCGGGACACCGCGTCCCCTTAGCCCGGGACCCTCCGGGACACCGCGTCCCCTCAGCCCGGGACCCCCGGGACACCGCGTCCCCTCAGCAAGGGACCCCCGGGACACCGCGTCCCCTTAGTTCGGGACCCTGTGAGACCCGCCTCCCCTCAGCCCGGGACCCTCCGGGACACCGCGTCCCCTTAGCTCGGGATCTCCATGGAGGCACATCCCCTCAGCCCGGGACCCTATGAGACCCTCTTCCCCTCAGCCCGGGACCCCCGGGACATCGCGTCCCCTCAGCCCGGGGCCCGCCGAGAGCCCGCTTCCTCTCAGCCCGGGACCCCGGGTCCCCTTAGCTCAGAACCCTATGAGACCCGCGTCCCCTCAGCTCGGGACCCCGGGGACACCGCATCCCCTTAGCTCAGAACCCCCATGGAGGCCCATCCCCTCAATCCGGGGTGCCTCGGGATCCCGCATCCCCTCAGCCCGGATCCCCCGGGACTCCCCCGTATCCCCATCCCCTCAGCTTCCCCGTCGTTCCTCTCTATGTTGGAGGATGAGTATTTGGTGGGCGCCTCGTATGCCATCAGGGAGTTCCGCTACCACGGACCAGAGCCACTCCGGGTTCCACTCAGGGCCTCAGGCAACCCTGATAATTTTCTTCATCCTCCCCCTGCCCTCCCMGACTGCTCCTGAGGAATCAGGAATTCTCTCCCTCCAGCCACGGTATGCAGGGTTTTTAAGTACAATGAAGTGAGCTGTAGTTGATTATTTCATGCTTGTGATACACCCTTACTCTTGTATAATGCTTTATCAATCATAGCTAGTTCCTGTCCTTCTGTTTATTCTCTCCTTCGCTAAATTTCATCATTTTGACCTACACTGAAACAGGAAAGGTAAAGCCTGTATGGAATTTGATTTTTATTTCTCCCCTTTTAAATCACCTGAAGCAGACCCTGAGGAGTAACTGCATTGAGGGTTGTTATTTTGTTAAATGACAGCTTTCCACACACCCCCTTTAGACACTCATTAGGATCAACTTGCAGAAGTCAAACATGGAAAAAGAATAAATTAGTAATGTGTATTTATTTGAGTTTGGTTACAATACACAGACAAGGAGGACACTGAAATTATTACCRAGATATTTTTGCAGCTGCAGATAACATGAGTGACAGTGCACAGAGCAGCAGTCAGAGGAAAGGAGAGGTTGTTTGCATAAATACAGACACTGGAATACAGGGATTTCACAGTTTTCACAGCAGTATGTTACAACTTTACACTTTAAATTACTACACCAGCTCTTAAGTAACATTGATTATACATCAGCAGCGGTCCCAGGATTCAGATACAGTCAGACCAAGGATAAGACACAGTAAACAAATTGAAAAACAACCAACAAAAAAAAAATCCAAAGTCATGGCTTATGGGAATGACGGGCATGGTTCCCTCATGGAAAAGGTATAGTTTGTTACCAGAGTTATGTTCAGTAAGGCATACCTATGAACCAAACTTTACCCCCCAAACCCTAAATCTCTTCTGGAAATGAAATGAGAATAGAAAAAAAAAAAAAAAAGGTGAGAGACAGTATTAAATACAGCAGGTAACAGAGGGAATAGCACAAGTTTTGGTTTTATTAGAGTAAGTTTCTATCTTTATAAAACAGTCGCTTCGCACAGTTTGACCAGGCAGCTCAATGCCTCTGTCCCAATGATCACGTTTATACATCACAGTCCCACCGTGGTTGTCCCTGGATAGGTTTCTGTCCTCGTGCATTCCGAGGCAACACCAGCTTCTCACATGGTCATGTGCTCTGGTAGGACATAGGATATATCATCCCAAGGGTGACGGTACAGACCCTGCTTCAATCTCTTCTGGTCCAGGTAGTGTCCTGAAATAGGAGTGGTTTATGTTAMAAAATTCCTATCCCTATTCTTAGTCTTTGACTTGTGTTGGAGTTCTGGAGTGCATTGAATCCCCTGAGTTTCAGGTCTGTCTGGTGCTCTGGGGCAGGGCAGCCCCACGAGGAAGGAAGGGACAGGGAAAATGTAGCAAACTCACCAATGAATCCCATACTCCTGCCCAGTACAAAGATGCCGTTGAGAGCTCCTATATCAATATATTCATCTGCTTCTTCCCTGCAAAAGGAAGGAAAATAAATGGTTCCTGGTAATCATCTATTTTAGGAATCAATCTCAGACAGGCTGGGAGCCTGCTCTAGAGCCAGAAGCCACATGAATTCCCATGACAGCTTTCTGCCCCCAAAAGCCAGGCCAGGCTACAWTTCCTTCCCCGTGTTCTGGAATCCTGTCCCTCAGGAGCTGGCAGTGCAGCTTCATAGGACCATGATCCAAGAACACCCCCAGYCCCACAAACTCACCTTGTGAAAGAGCCACAATTCCTGAGCACGTCAACAAAGGCCACTCCAATAAAGCCGTCTACATTCAGGATAAGGTTTGGTTTCTGCAGGAAATAAAACACACATCAATAAAGATGTCAACAGTGCAAATGGTGRTAACTGGCACCTTCCACTCTAAATGTGATTTGAGGGCTGCCTGTAGTTCAGGACACACCAGCCCAGCGATGGAGAAGCTGCTCAGCAGAATGAGCAAGAGCCACAATTAGTGGGAATGCTGGAAAACCAGCCCCAAACAGGTCAAATCCCAGAAGTTCCCTGCCATGGGCCAGCACATGAGCAAACAGCCTTAGATTTACACCCAGCAAATGCCAGTGTGGACAGTGGCCACACAGAAGATGGTTTGGCTTGCTCAGCATTTCCCTGGTAGCCAAATGCTTTCAGCCTTTCCAAACTGTAGCTGTACTCAGCCTCAACTCTACCGCAGACACAATCCCCAGCATCTATTTATGAAACACTGCACTGAAAATACAGCTGTGAGCCCCAGTCACTTTCCCTCCCATGAGAACCAGTGCCCAGAGCAGTTCAATACTGGCATTTTTCACCTTGGAAGTTGTGATTTTTTCTACTTCAAGTGCGTAGTCCAGCAGCGGGGTGGCTGGGAAATGCTGCTTCACATAGTCCTTGAGGATCTGAACTCTCATGTCAGGGTTGTTTATCTGCAAGTTCAGAGCACATCACAGTCAATAATGTTGATACTCTTACAGATACTCTTTGTAGATTTGGGAGAATTTTGTCAATAGCTGCCTCTGAAACTTGCCATTTTTTTTCCATTGTTTTTGCTCTCCCCCACACTTCCCTAAAAATCCCTCCAGTCTGTCCTAATGCAGTTTTCTTACCGATTTAACTCGGTGTCCAATGCCCATGATCAGCTTCCCTTCTTTCTTCATCTTATTCACAAACTCCATGGGGATAATCCCACTGTCAAAAGCTTTGCTGAACATTTTGGCTGCRGCATCCAGTGCTCCCCCAAACCGGTCACCCTGCATGCAAGACACAAAGGCAATTAGAGCARAGCACTCCACAATTAAGATACAAACCCAAGATTATCTCCTTCATCCACCCTCCAGGTCTCTGTGGCATTCATGACATTAGTTTGGCAGGCACCTGAGAGAAAACATCTGCTTATCTCTCACACGAGTGCCACTTTGGAGCCAGTGCATCTCTGCTAGAGACAACATGGGGGAAAATTCGATCCAAAGTCTGTTTTAGTAACACTTGTCAGAGCTCAGGCAACCAGAGTCAACACTGACAGCAATATGCTACAAAATATTTCTAGACTCAAAGGAGACAAACTAGTCTGGCTTACTGGAAAAATGGACCAGATTTTAAATAGGGAGAACCGAACCATTAAAGTTGAAATTCAAAGTGTGGATAGACAGACACCACCAGTCTGTGACTGCAGCCAATCCAAAAATCAAGAGTAATAAAACCTAGAAGAGTAATAGTAACAAAGCTAAACCTCCTGGATATCAGGTACTCACGATAGTAAGAAGGCCTGAAGTGAGGCTTGAGACCAGATCTTTGCCAGCCCTGGCACAGACAATGGTGTTGTGGGCTCCGGACACAGCTGGCCCGTGGTCAGCTGTCACCATCAGGCACATCTCGATGAACTGGCAGGCATACCTGGGTAACCTGGGCACAGACACCATATCAGTCAGGGACAGAACACAAATGCAAATATTTATGAAGTCCCCAGTCTCTCCAGAGTTTAGGTGATACAAGTTGTCAGAGTGTGAATCAGGCCTAGAATACGGAAATTTCCTCAGTGAACTACAAGACTCATGGAAAACTTAATCCCAAGACTAAAACACACTGTATGGAGCCCAAAATGCTGACATAGTGTCATGGAGGGAATACAGACATGGCATTCCAGTGAATCTACTTTCTCTGGAGTTAYTTCTTTTGCATAAAAGTCTATTAATAGACAATAAAAACTCCAAACCAAAGAATCTGTGAGCTTTCACAAGTGTTGCCTCACCTCCTCTGAAACCAGAGCAGGCCCAGAACTCCTCCAATGCCCATCTCCTCCTTGAAGACCTCAGTGATGGGCATCCCAGCATAGATCAGCTCCTGTCCTCGCTCATCACAGATGCTGGTCATGAAGGAAGCTGGTTTGCGAATCAGTCCCAGCTCCTGGAATTGCAGCATAATGATGGGATGTTAAACAACCCACACCAGCAGAAAGAGGCAGAGCCTCAGCACCGCCTCAGACTTGCCCTCGGAGCAACTTGCACAACCCAGAACCAGCACAGCCAGCAGCTCACAAGTAATACTATAAAGCACCAGGTATAACCCCAATGTGGCATCCAGAATCACAGCAAATGCCCTGTCTGGTTCCAAGGACCCCAAAAGCAGGTAAACCAGCACAGCTCACCCTTGCCCAGGAGTAATCCATTGGCACAGTTGGAGGAGGCACTTCCTCAGCTGGTTCAATCACTCTTTTGGCCACMAGATCCTGGTACACAGACCTAGG